CCAACTGAAACAAACATTTTTTAGCATTTTTTATTTCAAAATTTGAAGGAAATTTACGTCGATGTCATTTTTAAAATCTCGTATACTTTCATTATTATATACGCTCGCTTTTGTCCTACAGTAACTCTGTTTTCCAGCATCTATCTCACTTCTAAGAAACTTTATCGTGAGAACTTTCTTATAGTTGTTTTTTGTTTCAAATCATCAAATTAATGAATAGATGGACTACGACTAGGCAAAATAAAATAAGAATACAAAAGTCCTTCATGATTGCGGCCGTTTTTCAAGAATTGATTTTGAAAACTTTCTTAGGACTAAAAAATTTAGGACTTTCTTGAATATTTCATGAGTTACGTGCTACATTCTTGCCACTATCTTATGTGAAGCTTCAAATGTGGTATGAAATACACATTTTCATACAAAGGTTATTTGGGTAGCCATTTCCCCACGTGGGCATTTTTATTAGGAAGTTTTTAATATTTCTCACAGGGCTAAAGATGCCTCTCTAATGGTTTTTTAAATGTAGGACTGCGCCCGACTGTGCCCGTAGAAGATGGGGAAAACGTTTTATATACTAAAATATGACAGCTAGCCTAAGAATAACGATGGAATAACCAATAACCATAAATAATACGTAAAAACACTTACCCTGTGACCCAAAGATGCGACAGTAAAAGCAAAAGATTGCATCTTTGTCAATTGAATACTCTAACCAGTCATACTGCTCATACCATCTCTTCTGAAATCGAAAGTCTTTCCCAGAAATAACTGATTTTGGGAAATCGATAACCGGCTTAATTTGTCCCATTGCAAGGACATTGTCGATGTTCAGAACGTTTTTAGAAGACGGATCACGTACAGAAGCACACGCCATTTCGTTGTCTTTCAGATGAATGAGTGAAAGTCAAGATATGCAGCAACAAATTCATCATTTTTTCTCGCAGAGAGCCGAAAGATAATTACTATTCTTTTTAAGACGTTAAAAATGTTGATGAAGTGAACTTCGTAAATATACGGAAACAACTATTGATATTCTCTTTCAAAGGATTAAATTATTATAATCTGACCCATTCATGTTTTCCTGTTGTAAGATAAATAAATCTTAAGGATGTAATTTAATAACAAATTTTGTGTTTTACATTGAAATAATCTTGCGACACAATTCACAGAACGTAGGCCTACCCCCCCCCATTTTCTCATCGGATTTGCATGAATCTCAGAGACCATCTTTCTGAAAAAGTTGGGGGTAGGCCTACGTCCCCCATTCCCCCCTGGCGCCGCCACTGCACGCCCCCAGTTCTCGGCAGGATCAATTTTGTATCTGGTCTAAGCTCGGCGAGAAAATGTTGGGGAGGAGTAATATTTGTTGAAAAAAACTACGAACGTTGTTTATTATAAGATTGTTTGACATTGTTATTCATTGTTTTAAATTCTCGTTTTAGATTAATGATACCTTTTTGTTTGGCACTTCCCAATAAACAAGTTAAAATTAAAGTCTACAGGTTGTGTTGCTCTAATAATGTATGCAGAAAGAGAAATCAAAGGATTCTAAGCCACTTTGAGACCTCAGAAATGAGAAAATCCCGGAAGCTTCCGGGAGCTTCGCCCCCTGGACCCCTACCAAGGCGTTGCCCTGGACCCGTTGAGGGGCTTCTTACAGCGTCCCCAGACCCCAGCTGTTTTAGGCAACGGCCTCTGGTCGATAATATGGTCAGCCACAAAACGCTACATATGACGCTGTATAAAGGGAAATTGCCACGTGAAAATGCCACAAAAGGGGTGTTTTTCAAAAATCATAGGGGTCTGGTCACCAAAAATTATTCTCTTTGTCCCACCAATCTTCCAACCCTGGCTACGCCACTGCTTCTTGAATACGCCCCTGATTTTAAGGCAGTAGTGAAGGAAACATGCTTTTCTTTACAAACTTGTTACATTTCTCCGTGTTAGGCAGGTTTCAGCACGTGGCCTAGTCCCAGGTGCAAGGAAAACATGGAAGTAAAACGGACAAAACTTGTCTTCAGTTCCTTTTTTTGCAGATTATTGAATTGTTTTGTCGGTGAATTGCAGAAATTATTAAATGGAATTACTCTTTGATGGATCAAATCTTCCTAACGCATCTTGGACTTTCTGATCGATTTCTTTGCAGGTATTAGGAACGTCAATGAGGAAACAAGAGGAATATCTAGCCACTGAACAGTTTATCAACCAATAGCAAAAAATGTAGAAAAAATTTAGTAAGTAGAAAACAACTTCCAACCGTATAAGAAAAAATTTAACAAAATGTTTAACGATCTTAGATCAAAGAAAAAATAAATTGCTAGATAAAATAAACCAAAGCTGATTGAAAAAAGTAGCAATTTGTAAATCAATGATTTCCTTTTGATAATAGTCGCCTTTTAGACAGCTGGTAAGTCTGTAAAACCATTAAACGTCTTTCTCGTCTACTTTCAGGGCATCTTGTTCATCGGCATGTTCACTGTCAACGGCTACCTTGTTGGAGAGTACTCGCACAGAAGATTGAGTGCTTTTGTTTGAATAAGGCACTTCATCATAAGCACTCAGATTCGTAAATGTCTTCAGAGGATAGTCAGATAATTTTTTCGCACTTGCTGTGTCATCAAGCTGGATCCCTGTACTGACATGGTATTTCCGTTGATTTTTCTTCCACACGAGAATTCCAATAATGATAATTAAAAGCAAGCCTACCATTGATAAGCCTACAATCAGACCAACGTTGTTGCCTTCTTTTTCACATCTGTTGCCTGAGTAGCCACTGGCACACCTACAAACCCTGTAGTTTGGTCCACGCTCACATTTGCCACCGTTTAAGCAGAATGAGGGACTGCAGTCGACCTCGCAGGTTGATACTGAAGACGGCTTGTAGTAACCTTGAATACAGGCACAGTATCCGTGGGTGGCATCGCTTTTGCATTCTTGCTTTGCGCCACAATTGCCAACCAGTCTACAGTGGTCTGTTGAGGCAAATTGAGACAAAAAGATTAACGTGCAAAAGAGACATACTGCTGTCCCTTGTTAATGTATCCAGTACCCCAGAAGGAACAAATACATCTTCTGTAATGAAAACCAAGCTTAAGAGAAAAAATGATTATAACAGATTTTCTCTTAATAGAATACACTTTCCGATCATAGAGAGTCGAAAGCTTTACATTATCTACAGGTATAGCTAAAAGCTTGACGCAAATTAAAGGGAAGGGAGATACAAAAGACTGGCTAGCAAATCAGGCTTAATTCTTAAACTGAAATAAAACTTGATATTGGAGGTTAAGGGAAAGGACCTTACCAACAATTTTGTATGTAGAATCAACTGACAGAGGTCCAACAGAACCGGATGCGATAGCATTACTGAGCTTGTCCAGAGGGTCGGACAATGATGTAGAGAAGACCAAATCGGCAAAGGCTATGACACTTCCATTCCTGTTGACGTCAAGGGACATTAAAAAACGCTGTTTCTTATAAGAGGCAGGCATTTTAAACGCAGCCATTTTTACATTATACTTGAAGCGACATTTTACCAACCCTTATATATTTAAGGTATTCAGGTGATACATCAACGATGCAAATTGAAACATTCAGTATCTATTGATTAAGTAAACTTTGATACTTATGAACAAAATTGCTTTCTACATCCTTATTCTAAATGACACAAACGTTTTGTATAAATCAGCAGTTAATGGGAAATTAACAACCCTACCATTTCATCAATTTTCAGCTGTAGTTTAACGCAATACTTAAGAAGCTTCAAGTTCCTTTAAAGTAAAAGGCTAGCAGTCTTGCCAATCACGTTGCTGCTTCTTCAGCATTCACGACACAACAACGAAGGTAAAGAAACGCTTTATAACAATTCAGACAATAGATAATATTGATAATTCATTAGAATCTTGAAATTTACGAAGCAATATAGAAGTCGTATTGTAGTCGTATCGTAGTCATGTGGTAGTCGTATTGTACTTTGTAGCCGTATTATGGTCGTATGGTGGTTAGATTATGGTCTCATGGTTGTTAGATTATTGTCATATTGTGGTTATATCGCGAACAAGGAACTAACAGCAGCAGAACAAACCTGAACTGGTTGATTTTGACAGACATAAAGCCTTCTTCGGCGGCATAAATTCTCTCTACCTAGAATTAAGATATCATAGGCTTATGAAGTCAATATATGGTTTCAGACATATTCGATGATACAGGCCCAATGGTATTGCTTGCTGAATACAATTCACAGGGCTTGATCATCAGGGAGACAAATACTTGAGCATCATCAAATCTTTTCAGTTGTGATACATTGGTCATCGCTCATTATGACCGCATTTAAGTTCAAAGTTTATGATGCATTTTCGTTTTATATTGCATTTTTTGAAAAGATTCCTCTGCTTTTAGAAGGGTTTCACAGGTTTAGTCAGAAAGGAGAGATCAGTTGTTTCGTGTGTAATTACAGCCATTGCATTAAACCAGCAGGACTCAGGTTTTTAATGATTTGCTAAGCTCTGTAAGGTTAAAGCAATTGATTTGTATACTCACTTCTTTACAAATCTTTGATATCAAAGTTCTGAATTCTGAACTGTTGACATCTGACAGCTTGGAATTCCAAACTTCTACTGTGAACCGGATTCCTACACTTTCCTTCTTTGTGTTTTGCAGAGCTGTACCAATTCAAATCAAACCAGTAATTATCATTCTTGTCATTATAACTATAATAATTAATCACATTAAGATAAATTTTGACTTGGCCTAAAGCGTCCAGTTGTATCGTATCGTTTTGCTATCACTTTGTTCTTGTAGCAAACTTTGAAGACGAGAATCAATTCAATTCAAGATAAATTCAATTCAATTAACAATAACGATATAGCAGCCTATTGTTGTATGCAGTGTCTTTTATAAAATGTAAGTGTAACTTTTGAGTGGAATATATATGTAGAAAAATAGATAAAACATTTACTGAAACTATATGTTTCATAACATACTTACAGATGCAGTTGCTGGATGAAACACTTCCTGGCATTTTAGTTGTTCTTCCACTTGTACAGGCAATACAATGCGGCAAAAGCAGATTCTCCCTATACAAGCCAGTTTGGCAAGCCATACATTTCATGCCATCTTTTGATACTTCTTTTCCACGTGGACAAACAGCTACAACGTATAAACAGAAAAGATTTGTGATAGCTTGCTTAAGGCTTGCTAGGATAGCAGAAATATAAAATTCACGGAATTCATTAAATGTCATAATGATTATGATGAAGAAATTATAAAACATCAATACCTTTGCAAGATGAAGAGCTTTTAGCTCCTAGAATGTATGTTGTTGTTGTAACTCCTCCAGTCACCAGGCAAGGAACACAGCTCGTTTGATTCGCAGCGTCCCTGTAGCTTCCACGAGGACACAACTGGCATGCATCACCAGTTATCAACTCAGAGCCTAGGCCACATTTCACTGTACGATGAGATGCACTGATTAGCTAATTATAATTAATAGCCTAACCTGAACAAATAGGAATAGACCATCTCGGAGTTCGCGACGCCATGATTGAAGTTTCAATCCCTCAGGTAGGGCAAAACAGCTAAAAATTCATGGTAGATAGAGGCCGCTTTTTGGCCGTTCAACTTCTTAAGAATAAAGAAAAATACTTTTAGAATACAAGTCTGAATTTCGCCGATTAACAATGAGCTACAGAAGAGTTTACAAATCTCGATGATATAGGCCGCCGTTGATTTTACTGCAATTTTCGCCCCACTTGTGTTATGGCATCACTCCGAGATGGCCTATAGACTTTCGGTTTCTATGCATTCTGAAAATCTCTAAAATCTCTTAAAAAAATTGCCTAAGTCTCAAAATCTTCCAAATCAATCATGAAATCTAAGATATCTCGGCAAAACATTAAAATCGCTGAAAAAATTATGAGATCTTGAAATCTTGAAAAGAACTCTTAAAATCTAGAAAAGAAATCTTGAAATCCCACAATTTTTTGGCAGTGGCTGAATGATTTTGCAAAATCCTGGCACATTCAAAGCTTATTTGAAACGAATCCTTGACAAAAATCTTTGAAGTTTATATCTCTTATCACGAGAAAAGTATTCATATCAAGCACCTTTGCCTCTGCTCACCTGCCCAAAAATAGCTAGCCTCGATCTGACTCTAAAACTCAATCTGACATCGCAATGATGACGTCAAAATTTTTTGAATTTTTGAAATTTGACTATAACTCCCAACAGAGCATTTTGAAATACCTATTAACGTGCAAAATCATACAAACTAAGCTATCATTTGTTTGATTTAAACAAAAAAGACCTACACATTCAGAAATATATTAATTTATACTTGCCTACACATTCAGAAACATTTTTGGCTCCAAGACTAGAAGACCTTCCACTAGGGCAATAATCACATTGCATTTTGCCAGTATTTTCCTGGTAGAATCCCTTAGGACAAAGCTGGCACCTCTCTGCAGTCATGTTAAAGAAACTTCCAGCGGTACAGATTTCTACAGATAAGAACAAACGATAAGAACAATTGAAAAATAACTGGTTTCGAGTTGCGACCATGAATGTAGAAATAGTAGCAGCGCAGTGTCAAGAAGTACCATTATTATAATATTATTCTACGGAAATCTGTTATTAAGAATTATTAAGGGTTGTAAGTGCGTAAGTATACAACTTTAGAGTGTATACTCTACATATAGCACTATGTCGAATTAAAGTGCGACGAGTAGGAAAGTATGGAAAAAAGGAAATATTGTAACAAAGTTGAACACCTGTCAGAAAATTTTACTTTAAAATTCAATTATTCGCGATAAAAATGGGACACAAACCTTTACAGGCAGAGCTGTGATTGGAAGCAACATTGAATGTTGTAGTTCCAAAAGGACACGCTGTACAGTTGGTCAAACCATCCATCTGTTGATATGAGCCAAGAGGACAATCGACACATTCGTTGCCTGAAACATTGTGGTATGTTCCAGCTGGGCAAACAACTAACAAAAAGGAGAAAATAGTTTAATGGTACAAATGACATGCCTAGGCTTCATATTCTACATGCAAACTACATCGTTAGGTTTTTAAGACAAGCTGGCGGTTTGATGCTTCAGTTGGGCATCCTAGTAGATAGATTTGGATGAATGAGGATTCTATCGTCAGGGTTTAAAATAGCGTAGAGTGTCGTGTGTAGTGACTCAGAGGACGATCTTGAGGAACTTTGAAAATATTAAGCTATGTTTAGATGATCCGGTTGTTTTTTGGTTAGTGTTATTTATCGGATAATAATTGATAACGCTGCGTAATTACTTCGGATGACAATTCAAAAATTAGTCCCAGCAAAAGATGTATTAAGCTTTTAGATGTTAATTTATAGATAAAAATTTTAAGATTACGCAATTTTCTCGTGAAAACAAGTCTTTTGGCTCCGTAACAGACCATAATACAATTTTAAGCATTTATGCACAAAAAATATGCTTAATTAACTTTAATACTCACTTAATTCTATTTGAACTGTTTTTTAATTGATTACTTTCATATACGCAAAAACAAGACTTCAAACACAAAAA